CTCATGGCATTATACTTTTCCAAACTTTTTATTATACTCCTTGAAAATCAGTGGCAAGGTATGGGAAAGATAAGAGACTGTACATTTTAAAATTTAAGAGATTTCAGTACCTTTATGACACATCGTTTTCACGTTTCTGGTGTGCACCCTTTCTACAGGAATGGTGAAAGCAATAGAACATCAGGTCAAACAACTCTTGCTACTAATGTAAACTCACTCTCTGAAAACCGTTCTCAAATAGACAATGAGTGTCATAAAGCAAGCATGTGAATGCTACACAAGTGGGAACCTACTAACTTCTTTGAAATAAAAAGACATTACTTGTAGAGTTCACAGGTGACTGAGGGGAGCAGCCGGAAGTGTGCAGCCAGCCACCATCTTCAATTCTGGGAGACTGAGTTTACATGTTTTCCAAATGGCACAAGCCTCCTAACAGTCCTATGAATCAATGGACACTTGGGAAATATTAATAAACAACTTTTTATGAACTATTACTACAAACAACTTCAGCAAGTGGGGAGAGAAAGTTTAGTGACCTTTTAGTAAACATTTTTAGCTTAACAGTCTTTGGGACCAGATCATTTTTTTAAAAAAACAAAAATGCTTATAAACACCATTGCCCCATATTCAGCTGGTGTACACTAAAAACAGGATGATGGAAATACATGTTTTTAAAGCATTTCCACAGGAAATGTTCATATTTTTCATGACATTCTAAATCATTTAGCAATTACAATGCTACATTAGCTAAAACACAAGTATTCTTTATTGCACATTTCAAAGTAGTAAGGATGCTATAGATTAAAAGGTGATTTTTGTTTCGGGAAGAAATAACATTTCTGAATTGTTTGGCTCAAAACCGCATACTGCCAAGGCAGCTTAGTTCTAACAACAGATCTTTTAAAATAAACTTGGATTTTGAAGCCAATGAAATCCTTTACTGTAATAAATAATGCACAGTCCATTTTTTCTCCAATGAAACATCAGAGGTCATAGTTATGGGCTCCGATTTAAAGCCGGTGAACAGTCCTGACTAGTGCTGCGAGAGGCAGGAGGAGGCTCATCATTTGAGCCTGGCGGCAGTACGTCTCTTCTGGCAGGTGGTGGTCGGTAATCCTGGGGAACATGGGTTGGGGGTGGTAATCGTGTACCAGGAATAAAGTACTCTCTTGGGCCAAGAGGACCTAAAGGCCTAAATGGTGTGTGTCCTGGTAAAAATTCCAGAGGGTGGAGTGGCAGGTCCCATTTTACTGGTGCAAATTCTCTTAAGCCTAGTGGAGGACGCATACCAGGGCCTGGAAAACAAAAATTATGTCAAGTAAATTCCTAGGAACATAGCTAAATTAAGATAATGCCAGGTGTGTTAATATAATCTGTCATCATTTTTTTTTTGGAGGCAGGGTCTTGCCTGTCAGCCAGGCTGGAGTGGAGTGAAGTGATCATGGCTCACTGCAACCTCAATCTCCTGGGCTCAATTGATCCTCCCCCCGCAGATTCCGAGTAGCTGGGATGACAGGTGCAAACCACCACACACAGCTAATTTTTGTATTTTTTGAAAAGACAGGGTTTCACCGTGTTACCCAGGCTAGTCTCAAACTCCTAGGCTCAAGGGGTCCACCTGCCTCAGCCTCGCAAAGTGCTGGAATTACAGGCATGAGCCATTCTACCTGGTCTGTCATCTTTATCTTGAGATAGATTTGTACTTGGAAGTACTATGTACCATAACAAGAAGACACTCTAAATATGAATTCACTGCAACAAACATTTTGATAAATTCCATTGTTTACTATTGTATATTAAAAATTTATGTAGTAGCACAATATGTGCCTAATATATGCCATAAAAATCAAGCTGCTTGCCCTGCTGAAAAGATCTTCCAGCTTCATCTAATTAAATCAGCAGAATTCACTTGATAGCAGCTAAATTCTACCTTCTTTTTCATATCTCCCTCCTTTGTATTCCCCAAGGTGAGGGTTGAGGGTTTTATCTTTCCCTCTCTAATATTCTGTAACCCATTGCTTATGCTTCTGTTATGGATGATGAGAAGCTTTATGTTGTAGAGTGCATATATATGTTCCCTACAGGACATCTTAATAGGGGATGTGTTTTATCTACCTTGCTATCCATTGCATAACCTAGTACAAAGCGAGAGGTGTTCAAAAAACATGTGCTGAATATTACAGACTTTCTATAAGTGGACCGTTTCCTTGTTCTCTTACAGACAATTATTGTTGATCTAATCACAGGACATTATGCAGAACCCTTTGTGTCATAAGACACTTGGGGAGAAGTCACAATGAACTCAGGCAGCTTCACTGCTGCATTGCAAAGCCCTGCAATTGCAGTTGTTTTAGAAAGGGATATAGAGAGAAGATAACTATAGTTTGCAAGTTAATGGCTACTGTTAAGATCATCTTACCAAAGGGTGGAGGAATTGGCCGAGGCCCAAAAGGGCCACAGAGCTGAGGCGGTGATCCATATTGAACGGGTGGTGGTACAGGGCCTCCCATGGGGGTGCTCGTAAGAGGGACTCCTGGGAAAGGAGGGGGCCCTTTTGGAGTCACATTAACCTGCAGAGTAGAAGCAATTGAAGTTTTCAAATACTCTGGTATGACAGACAAAAGCACCAACACCAGTAAAGACTAAAACCCAATGAAGCGGATGTCAGGCACTTGTCCAAAGAGCAGAATTAGGGCAACCACTACCGCTCTTATTTGTTCCCACTGACAGCTTAGAAAGGTTAAAAGTATATCACAGGAGTGAACATTTTTGCCATAATCGTTATTATTGCTTGTATCTGAACATGGAAGGGAAAGCATAGGTCATAAAGGGAAGTCATTCCTGACTAATACTATTTGTAAGGCAGTCACTCCCTGTGCACATCCCTCTCATCAGAATAATTTCCATATTTAGAATGCAGAGAATGAAAGGGAATGAAAAACCCATTCTCTACCATGTAATAGCAATTATTCAGAGTACCTTCAACAGGCCTTACATATGTTAACTCAAATTATCCTGTCTCTAAATCTCTAATAGGACCATCTTGTTCTAAATATGCAGGAACACAGGCACAGAGAGTATTAGATAATTTGCTGACAGTCACACAGCTTGTAAGGAGCTGGGCTGGAATTCAATTCCAGGTTTGACTCCAAGGCCATGTTCTTTCCACCTCTGCTTCTCCTCTCTAACAGAGTAGTCTCTACTCTCTCTGAAGTCTTCTACTTGAAAGGGCTCTTGGGTCTTATCCAAGTTGCCCTTGGATAAAAAGATTCATCAAGGGATGTATATTTCTCGAGTCATGTGCTGGAACTCCACAGTATGTTCCAAGAGAAACAATGTTATATACACCATTACACAGGCACACTCTATTTACCTTCATTCAGTAGTAATACCGTCTACTATGAGACACTGACTAATCATTTCCTATGGGAAAGTGGTTTGGAAACTCTCAATCATTAAAATAAATGTACTTTGATTTCAATACAGAGAAGCATGGTGAGGTATGATCAGAGGACTTACCAGCCTTAACAGCTAAACAAGTTACAAGAGAATACACCTATGTGGACACTGTTTAAGGACACTGCTGAGAACTGGCTCGATGGGTAATTACAAACTACCACTATTCAGTACTTCACTTCCAACAAACATTCTTCTGTTATCAATCTGTAATTTCAGATCCTTCAAAATAGGTTTTGCCTTGTATACAGGTAGAGATATTCTTAAATAGTCCATTTTCAAATGAAGACATAAGAATGAATTATACAATTTACAATGAATTTACTTTGCATAAGAGCATTAAACACTGAAATACAGAAGAGTGGGGACTTTTTTCGCTGTTGTTTAAGTTAATTACACTTACAGCCAATGCTCTACACAGGTTAAATATCTAAGCAAACAGGAGAGAGAAGAAAAGGCCAACAAAACAGTCAGATTTCAGCAGCACTCCCAAGTCAAGGACAAAACTAAGATCAATATCGCCAGGCAATTCATAGCCCAGTTCGGTCCACACTTCTCAGTACTTACTGCTATTGGATGCTCAGCTGAAGATGTAATGCTGGGAACTGAGGGGACTTCAGGCTCTTGGAGAACAGTTTACTTTTTCAGAAAAATAAATGAGACAGTACAGACAGAACACACAAATAGGAGATGAAGCAAAGAGAGAGTTGTAGGAAAAGCTAAATATTCTTGAAATAACTATTCAAAATGGGTACATTTACCTTGTCTTCATCCATCATCCTGGTAGGGGAAGAGCCTCTTGAGCTGTTGTTCATCATGGCAGCTG